TGTTCACCTCCAATTTAGTTTTGGTCCCTCCATTTTATTGTCCGCTTTTATGCCAATCATGACTATTTTTCCGCGTGTAATCCTTGCACAGCTCATGATAAATTTACAACGCCCCGCTCTGCGAAGGCCACGGCAAACAATAACAATTGCATTTGCTGGCACTCCGTCCACGCAGGAGCAGGGCACATGTTTATGTCCTTCTCCTCCGACGTTCCCCGCACTCTCCGAAAGCCCATCCTCGCAGCCCCGGGCTGCCTGGCTAAGGCGAATGTCCTGTTTCTCGTTCCTCGATTCTCGTTTTCGCACGTACAATGTGCTGCACTTGCACTCTGCCCCCAGATAATTGCATTGGCCCGTCCGAGAGTGTCTGCCGCCGCCATCTTGGTCCTGCCCCTCGTCCTGCGCCCCTGCTCCTCGCCGGCTGCGGAGTTTTGTGTATTTATGAAAACCATTTCCGGGCGGCAATAAAACTCAACACGGCCAACGTCAGCGGCATCTAATCTTGGCCCGGCGGCGCTTCGAGTGCCATTAGTTTCCCTTGTTTTTTCTGTGGCATTTTCCGATTATGTGCGGATTTGCGGCACGACGCTCGACGGACGACGGGCGACGGACACCCCGATCCACTTTGGATCCAGGGAGAAGTTTGCAATTTACACTTTGGTGGCGGCTGTCCTTGAAAGATTGGCGAGTCTTAACGAGGAAAAACAAATAGGCCACCCGATGACAGGCGATAAGAGCAAGTTGCCTTGTTTTCGTACTTGTGCTCCCCATGCAAGTGCCACGCCCCCCACGCCCCATCCCTCCAAGAACGCCCCTCTGGCCGGAAAAGTTGCGCCCACTTCTGGATTTGCCTTTTTGTTAATGTTTGCTCAATTTAAAAAGTTTTCTATCGCCATTTGCATTTGCACGCACAGTTCGCACGTGCTTATGCAACAGCAAAACAATTGGAGGAAGGCAGACTGGGCGGCAGGTGGGCGTGGCAGGAGCAGGGGCAGTGGCAGCGGGTGGCGAAGGGGGCGGAGGGGGGTTTTGGGGGTGAGGAAAGTGCTCAGCCAGGCGGCAAAGAAACCATTTGCATACGCACAGGGGCTTAGTCCTGTGGGGATTTCAGAGAAGAGTCTTTCGGGACGAAGACAAAATGGCTGTTAAAGTTCCAAGAGTCACTTTGTTTCTTTTTTTTTTTACCAAAATATATTGAGCACATTTAGAACAAGTAACCCTTTCGAAGAGCGTGTATTAAACATCATACGTTTTTATTTGGTATTGGGGTAACTTCTCTCGTTTATTTTATTACAGGTATATGTAAATACAATATCGAAAGGCTTTATTATTTTTAGCGAAATATTTTTAAATATCCGATTGTACAATGTTTGAATGACAGCTAGCCCTTATCAAAACATCGCGGGCCCTAAAAACACTAAGCCGGAAGCTGATTGGCTGGATAAACAAATAGGAGCATTAGCATAATACAAAAAAACAGCGGGAAGTGACCCCTGTTGGTATCTACGCCCCTGATTACGCATCGTGAAGGCAAAGGAAGGAAAGTTCAGCAAAAAATCGGGCGGAGGAAAGAAAAAAACAGAAAGTTAGTTTAGTTTTTGTTTTTAATTTGGTAATGCAGCACGGAGCATGGCTTCCAATTGTTAGTCCTGGACAAGGACTTTTTGCTGTTTTCCGACAATTACATTTGATGGAGTTTTACAAATGAGCGAGGCGTGGTCGAGCTGCGGGGTGGACATTTAGTTAACTTTCGGCCAGCTTAAAATTGAAATTGAATTCCAATTGTCAAATGGAATTGTATATGACCAACAAAAAAGGACGCCCAAAAAACCCGGCGAACTATAAATGCCAATTTATTCGCCGACCAGCAGTGCGAGGTTAAGGACAATGGGGGATTGTCTCCGGGAGACTAAGGCAGCAGGATAACAGCTATTATGCATAATTAATCTGGGGGCACTGAGGTGGAGTGGCTTTTTTTGAGGCTGTAATAATTAATTATTTTCTTTTTGCATAACTGCATTTTGCGTTCGGCAACATTTGACAATGTTTACAACTGAGTGCGCAAATATGTTTGCGGAAAGTATTAATTTTTGTCGCTCGATTTCAGTTGGATCGTTAAGCGTTTGCTGGCGGGATTTAAGCACTGGCCTGTTAACCTGTTAACTTGCCAGAGTTTGAGTGAGAAATTAAAATTTCGTTGGATACAAAAACGTCAACTTAACTCTTCCGTAATCCTGTTTTACTGAATGTTTCATTGTTTCAACTTTCCGTCTATTTAGCCTCACGCATTTATGATGTCATATAAATAATTCAATTAAGTTGAACCTCCTCGCTTCCATTTAACTTATCATTGCAATTAAGAATGCTCTATTAGACTGACTGGGTTTCGATTCCGAGTCGACTAGCACGCCCATTTCACGTAATTTACTGGGTTATAATTGGGAAACGGACTGTTGCGTCTGTTTTGAGTTGAAACCCGAAATCAATTTGCTGCTAAACTGCCGCAGATTATCTTGAATTGGATTCGAAATCAAATTGGCAATTGCCGAGTCCTTCGCTTACAGGTTAACAATTACTGGCCATTCGGCAGATTAGCCGATTAGCCAGATGCCACATACCCGATAGCCGAGATCCAAAATCCGAGATTCGAGATCCGAGTAGTCTGCTCGGATGTCTGCCAGTGGCAGGCTGAATCGGAGTGCTGCGGAGTCCAATCTTTCTGGGCCATCTCCCATGCTCGTATGCCAGAAAGCCACGTCTGTGCGGATTCAGTTAATTGATTTGCTTTACGACTTGCGGCTGCAGTCAGTCCTTTCGCAACATATTCCCCTAATATTTTTTTAATATTGTTGCGCGCTTTGGCTGCCCTCCTTTTGGCAATTGGCCATCAAATTAGCTTTGCTTTTTTGGTCCACTGTGCCACATTTATGAATATCAACGAACCTGTGAGTGCCGATGCGGTTCCAGCCAGAGAGCCCTCCAAGTGCCTCTATCCCCGATTTACGCTCACTGGAAGAAAATAATGTGAAATAAATCCCCATTTGATGGCACAGTTTGGATAAATCACTCATTTAAAATTTAATTTAAGTGTGGAGTAAAATTAAAAAGCCAATTCAAATTCAGTACCCTTTGGTTGGTAATTGTTTTTACACCTTCAATTCACCATCAGGAGTTTGGATGCCCAAAATTATTCACCATTTTTCTATCTGTGCGCTCATAAAGCAGCAAAAATAAAACTGTCGACGATTGGGAGGAAAGTGGAAAATACTGGGGGCGAGGAAAAGCGGTCTGAGGCCGAGGAAAAGCCAGCAATTGCAACTGCCAACTGCCGCTGCTGCTGCTGCTGCACTGACACAGGAAATATTATCCGCATTGCCAGCAACGAGCGATGAGCAGAAATTGAGGCTGCCAAGGTTTTGGCCTGGCTTTGTGGGTCGCCCTCCTCGAGGAGGAGGTGGCTGGTGGGTCGTTGGTGGTGGGTGCTCGTCGGTGGGTGGTTGGGTGGCACGAGGACAAAGCGCAAAAGCGGCCAAGTGAATTCTCAAATACAAATTCAAATGGCAAATTGACAAATGAACCTTTTGAGCTTTTTACGTTTTCATTGTCTGTCCGTATCTCTCAGTTTGCCGGCGGAGCGGATTCATCCGTATGCGGTGCTTCGTGCTGGGTGCTTGGTGCTGGCTGCTTGGTGCTTGGATGGGGTTTGTGGGTCGTTCCGAGCGGTCCAGGAAACCTAGGGGCGAAGCAAGTGGGGCCGAAGTTTGGCCCAACGGTTGGCAACAGTAAGTGCGGTGTAGATTGTGTGAAATTAGGCATTTTCCGTCGGGCTAAATTACTTTTAAGCTGGAATAAGCACTACAGGGGAAATAAAGAATGCGAAGGCGACACAAACTGTACGAAGTTTAGGCATTCTACACTGCAAGAAGCAGTTAAAAACAATTACCATTAAAACTAGTTGTTTTGGGACAGAGTCATCCAAAGCATTAGTGATAATGGAAACACTTGTTGGGAAATAATTAGAAAAGGTTGGGTAATGCTTGCATATTCCGGGCGCAGCACTTGATTCTTGCATTTTCCCGCACTTTCCCCCAGTGGACTGAACTTGCCCTCCCACCTCCGAACCGCTCCTGGCTGGCAAGCTGGCTAGCTGGCTTTTTTTCCAGTTCAGTCCCGCTCCTTTTCATTCAAAAGAAGTACAAACAAAACCCGAGGGGGCACAAAAGTAAAAAGCATTCGACAGGCTATTGATGCTGATTTTGTAAAGATGCCGATGCCGATGCCAATGCCGATGTCGATGCCAATGAAAATGAGAATGAGAATGAGAATGGAGGCGGAGGTGGAAGTGGAAGTGGAGCTGGGTATTGGGATGGGATTTGGGCGGGAACGCCCTGAGTTTGAGCCCGTGCCCTGCGGGTTTTGGTTGCCGCTTTGTTGTGCCGTCCAGCTGGACGTACAACAAATTACAAAATGTTGTTGAAAGGCGATTTTAAAGCCCCGGCCACTTGGCACCAGCCCATCCTACCATCCTACCTCATCCCACTCCACCCAGACCCAGCCCACTTCATTCAGAGGCCAAAGCCAAAGTCGGTAAACAGAGATTACAAATGGGCCAAGTGTGGGCGCAGGAGGAGCAGCTAGAACTACACAACTACAATGGGCATTGTTGGGCCGCTCACGCTAATGCCGGATTCTCTTTTACATTTTGCAGATTTAAGAATTCTTGAAAGGATACCATACCAGCAGGAGCAACTTTCCACTCGGAGCAAATTAAAAGAAAGACTCTGCCTGCCTGCCCGCCGAACTGCCTGTCCAACTGCTGAACTGCTGAGGGAGGAGGACAAAAACGCAAAATCAATAGTGCCGAAGAAGTGCGGCCAAAGTGCTGAGTAATGTGGAGTAATGGAGACCTTTTTGCTGGCGGCGGCAACATGATGTGAAACATGGCAATCGAATCAGCCAGAGCCATTTAGGGTCATCAATTGCCAGGGTCGTCGAAAAGGAAGCCATATGCACCGCAGCATGGAGCGCAGGAGGAGCAGCAGGAGCAGTAGGAGCAGGAGGAGCAGCACCTCGAGGGCTCTGCCAGGTGAGTTGTCATTCGCAGGCATCAGGTGCCACGCGCCACAAGGCGGTCATTACATAACATCGGAGAAGAGCTTGATATATCTCCCTTTAAGAACTGATTTTAGTTCCATTTAAAGCACGCAAGCCTTGTCCTTAAAGGAGAGAACTTTCTCGCCAAGCACAACTACTTCTTTGTAACAACTACTGCTTGATATAATCCGGACTAATCGTTTATCTTCATCGATTCCAGTCTGCTGGATGCTGCTCTGCCTGGTGGCCTGGACCTGGGCGGACGACTGGTCGCAGAGCTGCGCCTCCAACTGCACCTGCAAGTGGACCAACGGCAAGAAGTCGGCCATCTGCAGCTCCCTGCAGCTGACCACCATCCCGAGCACGCTGAGCACGGAGCTGCAGGTGCTGGTGCTGAACGACAACCACATCCCGTACCTCAACCGGGAGGAGTTCTCCACTTTGGGGCTGCTGAACCTGCAGCGGATCTACCTGAAGAAGTCCGAGGTGCAGTACATCCACAAGGAGTCGTTCCGCAACCTGAAGATCCTGGTGGAGATCGACCTGTCGGACAACAAGCTGGAGATGCTCGACAAGGACACCTTCATGGGCAACGACCGGCTGCGCATCCTGTACCTCAACGGGAACCCGCTGAAGCGGCTCGCCGCCTACCAGTTCCCCATCCTGCCGCACCTGCGCACCCTCGACATGCACGACTGCCTCATCTCGTACATCGACCCCATGTCGCTGGCCAACCTGAACCTGCTCGAGTTCCTCAACCTGAAGAACAACCTGCTGGAGAGCCTCAGCGAGTACGTGTTCCAGCACATGGCCAACCTGAAGACGCTCTCGCTGGAGGAGAACCCCTGGCAGTGCAACTGCAAGCTGCGCAAGTTCCGCGCCTGGTACGTCTCCAGCCGGCTCAGCTCCGTGAGCCTGGTGTGCAAGGGGCCGCCGGCGCAGAAGGACCGCTCCTGGGAGAGCGTCGACGACGAGCTCTTCGGCTGCCCGCCGCGCGTCGAGATCTTCAACAACGAGGAGGTGCAGAACCGACATCGGGAGCAACACCACCTTCAGCTGCCTCGTCTACGGCGACCCCCTGCCGGAGGTCGCCTGGGAGCTGAACGGCAAGATCCTGGACAACGACAACGTGCTCTTCGACTCCGAGAGCGTCGCCTCGGACAAGCTCTGGAGCAACCTGACCGTCTTCAACGTGACCAGCCTGGACGCGGGCACCTACGCCTGCACCGGCACCAACTCGATCGGGAGCATGACCCAGAACATCAGCATCTACCTCAGCGAGATCGTGCAGCACGTGCTCGAGAAGACGCCGGAGACCTTCTGGTACTTCGGCCTGATCATGGGCATCTTCGGCACCGTCTTCCTGCTCATCTCCATCTCGTTCGTGGTCTGCCTGTGCAAGCGCACGACGCGCCAGCACCGCCACGCCAACAAGGCGGGCGTCAAGTCCAGCGTCAGCTTCAACGACCAGGAGAAGAAGCTGCTCGACTCGAGCGTCACCACCACGACCAACGACCGCGGCGACAGCTACGGCATCGACAACCAGCCCACCTCCATCGGGCTCAACAAGGCCGACTCGGCCGGGATGGGCTTCAACCAGATCGAGATCCACGCGGTGGAGAGCCACCGCCACGGGAGCATGCTGGTCCCGCAGCACCACCAGTCGCAGCAGCACCAGCAGCCGCAGCAGGTGCCGGGTGGGCCCGGCCTGCGCCAGCAGCTGATGCAGGTGAAGGACCCCTCCTGCGGCCTCATCAGCGTGCCCACCTCCATGGCCGGCCACGCCCACTCGCACCCCGCGCACCCCGCGCAGATCTCCGAGGAGTTCCCGCTGAACGTGGGCGTCTTCCCGCCGCCGCCGGAGTTCTGCTCGAACATCGTGCCGAACCCCGCCTTCGGGGGCAACATCTTCATCCGGGTGTCCGTCACCCAGGACATGCTGGACGGCGCGGACCTGAACATGTACCCCGACCTGCTGAACATCCCCAAGCGGATGCAGGACGTGCAGGAGACGGGCGCTGGGGCGGTGGCCGTGCCGGAGGGCCAGTTCGCCACGCTGCCCAGGCACACGGCGCGGAGGGGCATCCTGAAAAAGGACTCCTCCCTGCAGCAGCAGCAACATCATCAGCATCAGCAGCAACAGCAACAACAACTGCAGCAACAGCAGCAGCAGCAACCAGCCGGACTCTACACCCATGACGAGATCGTGAGCTACAACCTGGAGGCCAGTGGCTACGAGCCGCACCAGGCGGCGTACCACAGCACCGGCATGGAGCTGCCGCCCCCGCCGCCGCCGCCCGCCGTCACCGCGGTGGTGCAGTGCCACCACCCGACCCCCCAGCAGCTGCGCCAGCTGCATCAACAGCGCCCCGCCGCCGCCCTCCGCCTGCCAGACGCCGCCCGTCGAGGTGACGCCCCTGCGGCCGCTGGACAGCTCCGCCTACCCCAAGTACGACAACATGGGCCGGCGGATCACGGCGAGCGGCGGCCTGGGCGGCTCCACCCTCTCCCTGCCCGACGAGGAGCGGTACGAGAGCGAGACGCTCTTCGGCCAGGCGGACGGGCAGGCCAAGAAGGGGGTGGCCGAGCAGGCGCAGGATATGCAGACCATGCAGGACATGCAGGACATGCTGCAGGCGCAGGAGGCGACCCAGGGCCAGGACAAGGGCGGCGGAGCCGGCGAGTTCGTGTCGCTCTAGTATTACGGAACGCAGGTGTAAATAGGCCGATAGATCCGACCCTTGGCAATCGTTTTGTTCATATCAGTTTGAGAAGCGGGTGCTCGAAGGGAATCCATACTATACGAGCTATACGAGAACTGACTGCACCACTGAGTTCCGGGGCACTCAGAACCAAGAGCAATTCGCCAGGACCTTTTGGGTTTTCATTTGAGAAACGTTTTTGATTTCGATGTCCCCTTTCCCCAAGAACGGATCTCTTTATTTTCGTATGTAAGTGCTTTTTATTTGTTTATTATTTCACAATTATTTCATTCTACAATCACTTTTGGGATCGTTCCCCTCTTAAGCATTTATTTATCGTTTAAACCCGAAATTCCTCCTCTTGAAATCCCAAGAAGCAACCTTTAATCAAAATCACAGAGAATTCGTTAGGAGAGAACGTTGAGTTAGCAGCGAGAAACCATTACACTTTCCATTCGGACCGCACTCTCAGACTAGATACCGCATAAGAATATACTTCCAATATATTATGTATCGGTACGTAGGCGTACTCCATTAGAGATCTCCGTACTGTCCCAATCCTAGCTAGCATTCGTAGTAGTCCACTTGAAGTCTGTACATTTATAGGGATCGGTAGCGAGGTGTTCTAGAAGTATAGTGACCAAACTGATCTGCATAAGCTGTATAGTACGATTAATCGCATGTGAATGGATCCATAGCTGTTCGCTATTCGAGTCTTAGACATACTGCTTCTGGGGTGCCAGCGTCTTCGTGGGCCCACTAACCACAAACGTTTTAGAGATCGGACACTGAATAGGATTAGACCCGGCTTGGGTGCGATGGGAAGCTGAAATTATATCTCTAACATAGATACGCTCTTTATAAATGTTAGCCCGATCTAATACGCCCCACATATGCGCCGTATAACCAACCACCTTCGATGTGCAGTGGATACCAATATTATATAAATACTTTATCTAGTTTTTAGCCCGAGCCCTAAGATAGTTCCTTTCTTGTACATATGTAAATGTATCCTATTCGCTTAAGGACTTTTAAATCAAAATAATTTTATGCTCACTACCCACTACCGATAATATCGCATATATCACAAGTCGTGCCAAATGTTTTTAGGATCTGTTTTAACCTGTTAACCTCATGCGATTGTTTGGACCTTCTAGCGTTCGCATCGATTATGTAACCGTAGGCATTGCTGAACACTTAGTACCTATGATTTAGTCAATCTTGAACACAGACCACTCCTATTCTAGCGTACAGAATATATACATAATATCCCTTCGGTTCCACTTCCTCCATTCGAAATCCAGCAAGTAGACCAAAGCTAACTAAATAAAGTACGACATTAACATTTACGCAACATATATCTAAATATACATCCGCATATGTTTGTACTTGTGTCTGATGTCTGATGTAATCTGAATACGTAGGAGATACGCAATACAAATACGACCCGAGCGAGGCTATATCGATGTGTATATCTTATATAAATATGTAAACATTTATCGAGATCCAAATAGGGAGAGAGTACACAAGAACGGGGGCCGCATTAAATGGATTTTTGTGTCTGTAGAAAGTTTCAAATTCGAGCTTGGTAATGTAAATGTAAGCTATAGAAGTCAATATAAGTACACGATAAATTCCACTTACATGACCACGCCCACTCCACCACCGCCCCCTTCAGCATGATGAATGTAAGTGTGTATGAGTGTGTGTGTGTGTGTATGTCCGGAATAATTAAACACATGAATGCAATGAATTACTATAATAATTATGGGAAAGTATGCTGGCAAATATTTGCACAACTTCCATGAGATTTTTACCCTTCGCTTTTATTTTTATTTGTTTTATCGCTCTTGTTGTTTAATGTGTGCCGAGTGCCGAGCGAAGGGATTTTTGTATTTTGGTATTATGAACTGGACCAGAGCAAATTTGCACGGCGCACACAAAACACGGCAAACAAGCAATCTAGTTTGAACTGCAAGCCCTGTCTCCCTGCGAACCTCATTTTTGACAGCGCAGGGCGAACGATTCAATCAGGGCATTATTTGCCCGCTCTAATGGACGGGATCTGAACCCGAATCTGAATCTGAATCTGCAACAGAAACAGAAACAGACTCTGATTTTGAACCTGAACCTGACGGCAGAACCCTGTACATAGGCCATTTTAATTACATCACACTCGCGCAGACAGAGGCAATATTTTATTCATTTTAAATCGTTTTAACTAATTAAAACCAAATGGAAACCGCCAACAGAGCGAGAGCAAAAGACAAGTGTAAACACGCAAATAGAGTAATGGGTAACGGGTAGCGGGTAATGGAAAGAGTACCCCGACTAGAGGAAATTCAAACTATGCTTTTAACTACGGTTCCCACTTTCCACGACCGCCACGCCACGCCACGCGTTTTTCCGGACGGAGATGGAAGCGTAACTATGATTTTAATTACTCAGCCCGGGCGCAAATGGAAGGCACACGCAGATCCAGATACCTAGATGCGAAACGTATCTGCGCCCGCGAATCCGCTGCTCTGTGTATCTGCGGATCTGTGAATCTGTGAATCTGTGTATCTGGCTATCTGGGTATCTGCATCTGTTGTCGAGTGCCTGCGGCATCCATTGAGGGGCCGAAAAAGCGGTAAAATTAACTTTTTATGAGCGCTGCCAAGTGCTGGCAAAACAAATTAAATTCGAATGATGAATAGTAGTAACAAATTTGTACAATACCATAAAAACGCATTGCATATTGCATTTTAACTTGAATTCCATTCAAAAGCTGAAATTAGCCAAATCCTACGAGCCACACACACAATCCATCACGACGTGCACACTTGTATACTCGAATTCGCATTATAAATACAAACATCCCAACAGGACTGGACATGAGAACAGTTGACGACAGGACACACGAATAGGGTTACGGATACGGACGCGGATACGGAGACAGATACAGAATCGGACATGACATACCGGAACGAGCGAACATTTAACAAGAATATAGCCGAGAATACATTGTAATAGCATTAATAGATTGTCAAGCTTTATTACACACTATATTAACATAGATGGAATAATAATAATTATTATTATTACAGTAATAATACGAGTAACAGACGAACACAAAGAGAAATATGAATAAATTGAATAAAACCAGAAACAATGCCTTTCCCTGCACGACAGCTCGTTTTTCCAGCTGCAATCCATTTGCCATTTAGCATACCGTCATTACAGCCACACAAGAACAAAAACAAGGCCAAACGCACGGAGCGGCGCAAAAAAGGAAAATCGATTTGATGACATTTCCATAATGGAAAACTTCGCTGCAGTCAAATTAATGTCTCTTCCTGCGCACTTGATGGAAAGTTCTCGCCAAACATTGCAGCCAACTTCCTCAATATCCCAGGCCCCCTTCCCCCTCCCCCTTCTCCCTTCCCTTCCCTTCCCTTCCAGCCAATCTGCATAATTTGCCATGGCCCCGCTCCTATCACTTGTTGATCGTAAACGGTTTTTGGCATATCAAATTTCCGACTTTCGCCATAGCCATTTTGAAATGTTTGCTGGCGATAACCAAACGAACATTCGGGGCATTTCCGCGCCTAATCTCCGTTTCCCAGTGCCACCAGCCGGCAGGCACCTTACAAATGCCTCGATAATGACTGCGGAGGAAGTGCACTGGGGGAAATCACCTAGCACCTAGAAGCTGCTGCTCTGCCCTGCCGTTCAGCTGGAAAATTAAACTCGGAGTGACACATGGAAATGAAAACTTAATGCAAATCAAAGGGAACGGAGAAGAGTGGACGAATGGATGGCTTTTAAAGTGGCAGCGAGTTTGTAGACAGTTTGAACGGCGAGATCTGTTTAAAGTGGATTTCAACCAAATCAGCTTCGATGTAATTGCGTTTCTCTCTGTGCCAAAAAGCTGCAGCTCTGGTTTCTGGTAACAACCTTTTCGTCTTAATGCTCCCGGAGCCCATTTAGTCAAAAGTTGCCTTGCATCTGCGTCAGCAGCCACGTCAGCGTCTCCTCAAGCTCAACTGGCTTCAGTTCAGTTCAGCTCGGTTAGCTGAGGTTGGGTTAGGTGGGGCGGGGTTCCATCGGTGGCAGCACATCCGCTTTTGGCCAAACCACCAAGTCCCAGAATCACACCGAGGCCAAGGAGGACCGACTTCGGCTTTGGTTTGCCTACACTCGTAGTTGTAGTTGTAGTCGTAGTCGAAGTCGCAGTCCGTACGCGAGTGCGGATACGTTGGCCATGTGCGGACCCTCGAGGGAATCCGATTGCCACGCATCGAGCACGTACTCCGATGACGACAACCGCAAACTGCTGCGATTTCTAGCAGCGACCTCGCTTGCGCCCCTGACGCCCAATCTCCACCCAACCCCAACCGCCCAACCCCTCATAACGCCCCTCAGTCGCACTTTGTGGCTTTTGCTGGCAGGACGCCCACCCACTCGTTAGCTGCACTGCGAGAAAGTGCTTTCCGTTTCGCCAAAACAGTTGGTTCTACCAACTATTAGGAATATGAATCCCGAGTCTCTGGGGAAATGTGACCCTAAATATAAAGAAGAATGCAGTGCACGCCATTGAATATCCACTCAGCTCTTACACAGCTTTTTCTCACTGTGTGGCTCTCCTTGCCTTGCCTTGCCTTGCGTTACGTATGCAACATTCATTTTTGACAAGCATAATTTGCGGCTGGCCCAGCAGCGCAGCCATTGGGACTTTTGCCCGACCTCAGTCTTATGTGTTCCAGGTTATTTACAGTTTTCATGGCCCTGCACTTTTCTAATGCAAAAATGATGCACTGCACCCGCGCGGCCCACGTTCGCCCAGGTTGCCCACTCCCCTCTCATTTCTGGTTGCTGGGTGGTTGGGCGGTTGGGTGGTCGGGTGGTTGGGAGATGGTTGCTGGGCGGCCTTGGTGGGTGGGGTGTATGTGGGCTCGGCTGTCTGTGGTCGGAGTCGAGTCGGGACTGCGGGGATGCGGCGCAGTCAAAACATGCACTTAATGTAGCATCAGCAGGAGCCAGCAGCCAGCAGCCTGTAGCCAGGAGCCAGCAGCCAGGAGCCAGCGGCCAAGAGCCAGAAGACAGAAGCCAGGCGAGAGGAAAGAGCAAAGAGGAAAGGGGAGGCCTTTTCTGCTTTTGACCAGGCTCCGCAGACGGCACACCGCAGTGGCAATGAAAGTTGGGAACCAATATTTGTGCGGGCCGTGAGCGAAAACCCAACGGAAAGGCCAGGAGCGGTCGCAGTTTGTGCTGTCCCTAAATGGATAATTGGGTTTGGCAGGTATGAATCTGTGGACGCTTAGGAATTTGATTGTTCGAGGACGGCGATGGATGACGACGACCGCAGTTATCGCACCATTTTGGGGTTTTGCGGGTGAAAAGCGATTAGAGAGGCTTTTAGATTTGCACGACTGATATCACAGTTTGCATTCAAATTAATTATTAATAACACAATGATTGTGCGGCACACTCATTTTGACAATCGATAAAAGCACTTATGTTTTTAATAATCAAACGCTTATTTGTACAAACAAAGGGACAAAACATATTTATTTGTTGACTGTAAACGGATTTATGCCATTGTTCGCTGATAGTGTATCCTTTTTTTCAACAAAAATACATGGCACAGAATATGTCACTGCTGTTGGATGAGTTTGAGAGTACATTAGCTCCCGAGCCTCCAACCCCCGAAAACGAACTCCGCTCCTGCGAGCCTAGAAACAAAAATAAATCTGTTTGCCAAACAGTTATTGCTCTTGTTTCTGCGCCGCTGCCACAAGCGCCGCCTCCTGCTCCTCCGCATCCTCCGCATCCTTCGCATCCCGGCACCGCACAAATCTAATGCCAACACCGATGCCCTCCTCTGCCGCTCCGTCCCGTTCCGTTCCGTTCCGGCTCCTTGCAATCCGACTCCCCACGCAGCTCGTCCCGGCAATATGTGCGCTCATTTTATGCCTTGCATTTGGCAACGGCTCAATAATTGGTCAGTAGATTGGGAGTGGGCGTTCGAGTGGGTGCGGAGTGGGCGTGTCTATGGTTGGCGGGGGGAGGTCTGTGGGCTCGTGACTCAGGTGCCCGCAAAGCTTTCTATAAATTCAAAGTCCACGGCAGTGATTATGCAAGTTGGCTAAGCCAGCGGCCATGAGGATGCACTCGATGGTCTCGACTCCAGTGGACCGACCCCGGATCCTAGAACTGCCGCCTGCGGTGCGAGATCTGCAGAACGAAATTGAATATGGGTTATGAATGGGATGCCTCTGCCCCACTTCTGCTTCCACCTTCCGTTCCGCCGGAAAAACAAACAATGTCCGGACTCCGTACTCCGGACTGGAGTCCGGATTCAGACCCCCATGGCTAGTCGGAGTGCTCTGCAATTTATGCCTGCCGCTGGCGTTGGTAAACGTTTTTCTATTATTAAATTCTCAGACGGTGAGCAAGGTAAAGCTACGTTTAGTATTGTATTGTGTTAAAGGGACACAGCCCTCTTATACGATCGTAAAAGCCCCAAAACCCAATCTAAAATAGGCAGTCTGTGCATTACTCTTAAGCGCCGTAATAAAACTGTACAAATTAACCCGTTTCACTTGAAACTTCTCGGTGAAACCAGGCAGACATTTTCATCACTGCCTGCCAAATCGGATGCGAATGAGCCGGAAAAATCGCAGCCACACGCCCATTGTTCTGGCCTTCTCAGGCAAATCAATACCGCCGCTTAATGGTACATTGCACCTCGGAGAGGCGTAGGGCGGAGGGCGCAGGGCGTGGCGCGGCCTTTGATCCCTATCCCAATCCCAGTCCCAGTCCGAATCCCAATCCCTATCCCTTGCACAGGTGCCCCTACCTGGCCATTGATTAAAGTGGTTCCTTTGCAAATTTATGTTCGGAATATTAACCGAATTGCTCCCCGAGGAAAACTCCCCAGCCACTCTCACTCGGAAAAAGAAAACTTTTTCCACAATGTACTCGTGTACTGCACACACAAACACACGCACACACACCCACACACACCTACATGCAATCATATGAAAAAGGGGCCAAGGCAACTTTTTTAACAGTTTTTGGATTTTGGAATACAAATTATGTAAGTAATCTCAATTTATTGATATATGGAGATGCATGTTTACACGTGGCCAGCAGCAGCCCGACATTGTCGCTATTTTGGATTCCCGGAGAGGGGGAGAGTCTTTCGGTGGGAGGGCGAGTGGGTGGTCCTGGGGGCGATGGGCGGTGGGCGGAGGACGGTAAACGGTCTGCTTGGGGGGAAGACTCCGGCCATGTCTGCCCGAGTGTGACCCTTATGAATGGGACAACTTTTGTCTTTCTTCGTCGCATTTTATACCCTCGCAGCATTATAATTTGCCATGAATATATGAAAACCGTTTGTAGAAGTTCAACCGTTGTGGGGTCCTCGGGTTGCGACCCACCGCTCACTTCGCTGGGGTTTGCCAGCCTGGGAAATGGTTTATGTAATGGGATTCATAACTTGTTTACCTGCCAGCAGGGTTATATCTAGTCGGGAAGTGTTGCCAGTTGCCAGTTGCCGGTCGCCTGAGAATGTCCAGATCCAGGTCTCGTTGGCGCAGCCTTTTAATTTTAATTAAGCTCCTCGAATTGCCATAAAAATGTTTCGTAAAGCTGCCCAATGATTTACGGCAGTTTCAAGGTTATTCGCTCCATTACAAATTCATGTAAGTGCCTGTGCATTTTCGGCCATTGCTTAGCTCATTATTTTCCAATGCCATAAAGCAGATCATCGCATAAAACCGAACTTAATTACCTTAAATTATAATGCATGTTCTAGTGCCTCCATGCGCCAGATTTGCTTTTATTGCCCCTCTAGTGTTTTCCAATCTGTACCCAGACTAGTAGTAAATTTCAAAGCGCATATAAAATGTAATATCTTATTTAATCTTTATGAGTTCCGGTTTTACTAATTAAAGATACCCTAATTTCCTTTTTTTTTTAATATACATGGTTACAAATTAACATCTTAAGTTAAAACGTAACCATTAAAAACTCTGATACATATGACAATATAAGGGCTCAAAGAAACCTTACCAAAATTTTGTGTATATATATGGTTTCTGGAAGTGCATACATGGGTCTCTTATTGCACTTCTTGGAAATCTTAGGAAAAGTCTGACATAAGCAGGGGTCAAAATGTCGACCCTCTCCAAACTAAAAAATTTAAATGCAGTTTATTTTGCAATTCCATTGCAAATGTTTAGAGGTATGCCACTTTGGGATCGATTTGGGTCTCTTTTTGCCATTCATGGAAATCATGGGAAAAATCTGACATGAGCATTGTTTAAAATATCGACCCCCAAAAAACTAAAAATTTCGTTAAGCCTAAACTTTCAGGAGTCATAAGTCGGATAATTTTTATCCGATCGTAAAGTGGCATACCTCTTAGGTATTCCATTACAAATGTTTAGAGGTATGCCACTTTACGATCGGATAAAAATTATCCGAGTTATGGCTCCTGGAAGTGCCGATGTGGGTCTCTTTTTGCCATTCATGGATATCTTGGGAAAAATCTGACATGAGCATGGGTCAAAATATCGAACCTCTCTAAACTTAAAAGTTGATATGCAGATGGTTTTGGAATTTTATTACACATTTTAGAGGTATGTCACTTTGGGATCGGATAAAAATTATCCGAGTTATGGCTTCTTGAATTGCCGGTTCGGGTTTCTTTCTGCAATTCATGGGAAACTTGGAAAAATCTGTCTGAACTGCAGTCAAAAAATCGAACTTTACGGAATTAAGAAGTGCAATTTAATTTAACACGAAATACACAAATATAACATGTATATCAATTCAAATGATTAGTTAGCAAAGTTTCACTTCATCAAACGTTGCCAACCTTTTCGATCAGCAGAGTTTTCCACCCAAAAAACGCCATAAGTTTAGCGGGGACAAAATCGCACTAACGCCACGGCTCCGTAAACAAAGGGTCACACTATGGTGAAGAGCGTACATTGGGAAAAAATAAACTACAACAAAACCATTAATTAAACTAGGAAAGCGCTGCGTTACATCAATCGAGAGAGCCGAATCTGGTAATCTCTGGACCCGGAAGTTCTTATATCTAGGGTGCGAAGGCAGTAGTCTAGGTGGAGCCCAGGAAACGGGAATTTTCGACTTGCAAATAAGAGAAATTGGTAAGCCACAAGGGAATCCTCTCGCTTTTACCCCACTTCCCGTCTCGCTGCGTTAAACTGAGAATGCAGAATAACACAGAATTTATCGAGTGTACACTCTTTGCAGATGCCCCGGCAAAGGAACGGAATCTCGCCCAGAAACAAATCGTCTCAAAATAAACCGCAGTAGTTCCTGTTCCGGTCTGCAAAATGCCAGGCGAAGAGTGGCCACAGTGAGGCCTCCCTCGAGCGACTTTCGCAGGTGGGTAGCGTTCAGTGGACACCAAAGTGCAAATGAGCAGGAAGTCGGGGCAGTAACACGCTGCGGGCACTCGCTGAATTTGAGCAGGTGACGCAAAAAAGAACGGCAAACAGAAACACGCACGATGTCGTGACACTTTGCATTTATTTAGAGACTTCTCAGTTGGCGAATTCGTCACATTTCGCACACTTCGGCGAGAGTGGTTGTCATGGTATATCATATCTTATTTGCAGTCGCGAATCTCCCGGCTTTACACTGATGTTGTCTTTAAAAACCATACTCGGACATTTCTCTGGTTGTAAAGTGTTTTCTTAATAAATATTTCCGTAGCTTATTAATAGCATCATACTAAAAAACTTACTCCATCTGAGGGTCAATTTAGCAAACACTTAAGAGTCAGACGCTGATTTAAAATAGATTGAGGTAGCCAAACAGGTCATTAAAAATGTGATTCTTTTCAGCCTTTCGCCCAGAGCATGGAAAGCACGGACAGCAGTGACAGCAGCGGGGACAGTGTGAAATCCATTCCCCGGCCGGACTTCGAGGCCCTCTCCGCCATCGACAGCCCCCAGCCACAGTTGCAGAGCTCCTCGCTGGATGGCCCCATTGAAATGGAGTCGCTTATCGTGCCCAGCAAGCGCCAGAAGTACGTGGTCAGCGCTCCGCCAGGATCGGCCAACGGCAGCAGCCACTCCTCCAGCTCAAGTCCCTCGAACGCGAACGTGGGCTCTTCGCTCACCATGAAGCTGACGAAGGTGCAGCCGCATCAGCAGCAAGCGCGCTCCTCCACGCCCAACACCAAGGCCAAGATGCCCAAGGAGATGCTGGCGCTGCAGCGCTCACACATCGAGTCCGAGGTGTTGACCAACTTTGTCACCGACATCGCCAAGCTGAAACGCAGGAAGTCGCGACACGCGCCCGCAAGTCTCGGTACTCAGGCGTCAGGCGGCGAGCTGTCCCGCAGCTTGAACGCCACCTCGAAAAAGAAAGGAAAATCTCTCAAGTTGGCCCTTAAGCGAAGCAAGAGCATTCCGGCCCCCTTTCTGGACTCTGACGACGACTGGCAGGACGAGGACATTGACAGGAGCCTGAAGAACTGCAGACCGCGGGGACGCTCGATGGCCTGCGACGATGGCGAGCGGTTGCCCGAGATGAACGCGGAGGACAGCAACAGTAATTCTGCGAAGGGAGTGCTCACCCGCTGCCGATCCCGCAGCAAAACCCTCTCCCTGAGCAACAGCTGGAGCGCCGAGGAGAAGGCGGCAAGGCGGACTAACATGCGCAGTGAGAACGAGGAGTTTACCAAGAAACACAATGCCTTTCTTGATCGCGTCATCCAGGATGACCAGGACCAGGACTCGGAACTGGCGCTAAACACTTCCGGCGAGGGAGATGGCGACGCGGAAATGGAGTGGCCCGATGGCGAGTTGGAGGCCCACAGCTCGCTCTTCTCAGATGCCAGCGACTCAAAGATGGTCTCGGCCAAATCACAGGAGGACGAGGCGGCAGAACGACTTCGTCTCATCTGGCAGGAGCCGCCCACGGTGAGTGGTGTTTAGTATAAATGGGGAGTATTTGTTTATTGGCAAGTACAATTTGCGTAAGCAAATGGAACGTCTGTGAAGGGCCTTCCCATTTTGGGCCAGTAAATACTATTTTTGAACTAACGCGTTTCATGTTCCCTACAGCCTGGATGGGACCCCTTCTGCTGGAAGTGTCGGGAATGCGGCAAGCTGATGCCCTGCTCGAAATGCCTGCGCTCCTTCCACACCTACTGCGTGCGCTCCGCCACCACCAAGTTCGACTCCTCCTGGAAGTGCCCCGAGTGCCAGGTGATCGAGGCAGCGCCCAAGAGGTGACCTTCTGGTATTTCCTCACAGCTCGCACAAGTTATCTCATTGATTTCGGTCTTTCAGGCTGCGTCGCAATGAGGTATCCGTGGATCTGCTGAGCCAGCTGCTCTCCTTCGCCCTGGACCGCATGAAGCATGTGCGCGGGGTGAGTGAATTCACCGATTTGTGTGTACTGTATCTCGTTGCTTGTCGAGATTTCATTATCTTCTCCCGTATGTCGCTCTCTGCTTCAAAAGTCACGCGAAAAATCGTGCCCCGGTGAACGCACACATGTGTTTACAGTTGCGGTCGGAATAGTAGCTTGCAGCTCTGAGCGATTTATCATCAAAAGTTATTGATTAGTCATCGATATAGGCTGAAACGTTTGCCCTTAAGACCGACCAAAAGAGCTGCCCAATTTAACCTGGCTCAGCCATCGATATTGCAATTTAGGGGTGGCATTTGGCGAGCCACTTTTGTGCCCGCTGCTGCAATTGATATGTTTAACGGACCTCTGGTTTGCTGTTTTGCGCTCTTTGCCGCCTCCACTCGCTTCCGCTGCAGACCCACTTTGTTCTCTCGCTCAGCGAATGTGTTCCGAGCAGATAGACACCTGAAATGTCTCGCTGGTTTGCTGGTCTGATGGGTTCTAGGGTTCCAAGTTCGTTTTGCGTCCCCTTGACCCTTCGGGCAGCCGTTTCACATCTCCATTCCAGTGCCATATGTGGGCTCTAGTCGGAGCTGTTTACCGACTCACGTGGTTTAATTCTCTGCGTTTACTTATCTGCCAGTCGATTCCGATGGCCAAAGGCCTGCTTGTGTGGCTAATGGATGGCTGTGCTGGTGTTCGTGAGGCCCTCGTGTACATGATAATGAGGTTTAATGGCCTGAGCTCCGCAAATAGTCTGTTCGATTCTACTTCACTTTGCTGGTGCACAGAGCCTAACTGAAAGTTCGTGTTTGGAAGGGGATAAACCAGGAAATGGTTAATATTCTACATGAGACTTAATGAATTTATTATACTGAAAGAGTTTTCAAAAGTTCAGAGTTTTAATATTATTCTGCGCAAAAACTTTACCTCTGAAGCATTACATTTTACTATAAATACAGCTTTTTTAATGTATTTCCCCAATTTAAATTACTTAAATAAGAAATTGAATTATTTAATTAGCTCATTGTTATCGCAGCAAATTAAGAAGTCGAGTAAGAATTAATTAGCAAATAAAAAAGGTTATAAGTTGTTTGTTGATGTTAACCACCTCCCGATGTGATTAATCCTTTATACTGTTTATTTGAGCACAGCTGTATTTCCATTCTGTATTGTGCTTGAGGTTTTTCTCTGACCGCAATCGACTATCTGTGGTCTTTATTGGATACCACGGTTCGCGTACGAGTACAACAACTGATAGCATTAACTTAAATGTGTCCGCCTCTCCACTTCCTCCCCCGCCGCCCGATTGGAAGTACACCGAATGCCCTTGTATTGGTGTGTCTGGGGGATAAAGGAGAACTTGTTTTCAAACAGAAGCTCGCTGAGCGCTCTCTTCGCCGCACGACGAGCTCTAACCGCCACTCATGCACCCCTTCCCCTCTGTTCCCATCTCAATCCGCAGGCCCACAAGCTGCGTTCGCCGCAAGAGGTCTTCCCGCTGACGTACAAGAAGTACTTTGTGAACCCCGTGAGCTTCGACAGCCTGGCGCAGTGTATCCGGAGTGGGGCGTTCCAGAGCACGGAGGAGTTCCTCGGAGAGGTGAAGTGGATCCAGCACAACGCGCTTATCCTGGACGCCGGCGGTGAGTGATTGTTCTTTGTTGGCTGCTGGTTGTTTTAAACATAAAGAGGATATCTTGCAGATGCGAAAGTAGAACAAGCCTCGAAGGCCGTGGTGAAGGTGTGCAAGCAGGAGGCCAACGAAATCGAAACCTGCCCCGAATGCTACCTGAACGCCAACTCCAGCGACGAGTGGTTCGTAAAGGTGTGCCGGCACCCGCATCTGCTGCTCTGGGCCAAGCTGAAGGGCTTCCCCTACTGGCCGGCCAAGGCGATGGGCTTATCCACCTCCGCGCTGGTGAACGTGCGCTTCTTCGGCAAGCACGACCGCGCCTTTGTGCCCGTCAAGGACTGCTTCCTGTACTCGGCCCAGAACCCGAACACACAAACGAGTCGGAGGTCAGCGCGGGATTTGGCGGAGTGCATTCGGGAGGTTGAGGTTCACATCGAGCAAATAAAGCGGAAGATTGGCGCGTTTAACTACGCCGACTATCGCACGCCCTATGATCCTCTGGAGGAGCAACAGCAGCTGGAGCAGATGATGCCCGGCGTTTATGCGGCCATCGATCGGGAACTGGAGCCGGCTAACAAGACGCCACTGCAGTTTCTCATCCGCAAGACGGCGGGTGACAAGCTGTCGATCGTGAAGAAGACCAAGACCACAGAGTCGGGCAACGAGTCAGACCAGTCTCCCAGTCCCTCGAAAAAGCACCAGGAGGTGGACGTCGTGACGCCAGCAGGCGCCATCGAGCACTCCAAGCTCAAGAGCAACAACTACGAGGTCATATCCAGGACAGGTGAATCTCTGACCGACTCCCGTTGCAAGGTGCTTCTCAAGCGGAAATCTCTGGCCGCCAAAACAGTTGCAGAGTCTGCGGAAACCCCGGAGGCGGTGGCCACTAAGCGCAAACATTCCTTGAGTGACGCTAGCTTCACCAGCGAGTCCAGCGACCACAAGCGCAAGTCGAAGCATGCCAGAAAGCAGCAGGAGCAGGATAAGCCAGCTGGTGGGCAGGAGCACGCTGCCCAGGAACCCTCCGAATCTCCAAAGCACTCGCCTAAGCAGGACATGGCTCCAAACGCAGAGCTCGACAACGAAACATCTGTTCAGGAGACTTCCACCGCTTCTTCGGAGGCCTCTGCTTCTTTGGTTTCCGTTGTGGAGCTGGTCAGACGTCGCCAGGGCGTCACCATCACCAAGATTCCCCGCGAACAGCAACAGACAGCAACGGCAGCCACAGAAGGGCCGGCGGGGCCTGTTCCGCCTCCTACAGCCCCTCCAGCTCCATCGGTTGCAAAGCAAAACACATCAAAGCGAAGTGAAGCGGCGAACCCAAAACTATCCGACGTCGAAAGGCAGCAGCAGCAGCTGATCAAGAAAGTAATTCCATTCGTCGAAATCAAAACGGAGGTGATGTCGGAGCCAGAAGAAGAGGAAGTGGCGACCAGGCAAGCGGTGGACCAGCCTCCTGCTAAGCAAGTGCCTGGGCAACAAGAGCACTCGGAGAGGATCACACACCAACCCGAACCAACGCCTGCGCCCACTCCTCAGCCCGAACCAGTGGATCATCCCCCTCCCGAGGTGGTCAGGATCAAGGAGGAAGTCATCAGCGAAGATGAGATGGAAACGGAGCAGAGCATCGTTAGTCACAGGTTCGAGTCCCTGCCTCCCATGCCCCTGCCAATGCCCCCGCCCCCTCCGTTGCCTCCTCGGGGGAGACGCCCGCCACAGAGGACCTAGTTCGATTTGTGGGTGAAACCACCATCCAGAGGTTAAGCCAGAAACAGGCAGCCAAGGCCACGGACGCATCGGGAAAGCGAAAGGGACCGCATCAGAGTCCTCTGCCGGCTGCCCTCGAGGCAACCTCTCCGGCCCACTCGCCAGTCCAATCAGCTGCCCCCTCGCCTTCGGCATCGCCAAAGCCAACAGGCACGTTCGCAGTTGGGAAGCCACAGCCTCCGCCCTGCAAGGGAAAGGCACAGCAGCCTCGGGTGAGGAACGACCGTACTCCGTACCCAGCCTCCCCACCAGGAACCGCTGCACCCGCCACCACCACCACCTCCTCCACCTCTTCGCTGCTCAGATCCAACATGGTGGTAATTCCCGTGGAGCAGGCAGGCAGCTGTAATCAGCACAACCCCATGACGATCCCGGTTCCGCCCCTGAGAGCCGTTTCCAAGAGCACTCTGCAGAGCACTCCAACGCTGCCAACCGCTCCTTCCGTTCCGTCGTCTTGTCAACCATGCAGCTCCATGTCCATGCCACCACCTCTGGCGGGACTGAGTATGCCCCAAGCGGCGGCCCTCACATCCCAGGAGAACTTGTCTTCAAACAGCGGGGAACCAGTTGGTCTGCTGGCCAGCGCCTTGAACGGATTGGCTACCGAATCCATACCCAGTATGCAAGCCCCTTGTGAGCCCATAACTCCGGGCTTGGCCACGGCTCTAAGTGAAATGCTCGTGCGCTCCGGTGCCCCGAAGCTGGTGGCTCGTCCCTGCGGCCCACTCCGATCGGACGGCTCCCAGATTTATCCATCACAAGCGGGACCCGTCTCGCAGAAGCTCAAGGAGAACGCGCACAAGGTATGTTTTGCAAATTATACCACAGTTTAGGTTTACTTTATTTTATCCCTTTGTGCTCGCAGATCACCGACTACTTCATATCCGTCATCGAGGACACGCTGAGCGACATGGCCACCGGAGACCAGAGCGTCCTCCAAGCCCGCATCGCCGGTTTGTCGCTGGAGAACGAGCGGCTAAAGCAGCACTACGAGCGGCAGATGAACGACCTGCAGCGCACCAGCGAGCTGATGATCGCCGAGATGCGCAAGACCTTGGAGCAGGAGCACAAACGCGCGATCAGCGAACTGCGCCAGCAAAAGGCGCTCGAGCGGATGCGGGCCGTGGATGAGGCGAAGAAGAAGCAGTGGTGCGCGAACTGCATGCGAGAGGCGCAGCTGTACTGCTGCTGGAACACCTCGTACTGCGACTACCCGTGTCAGCAGATCCACTGGCCCAGGCACTCTGCCACCTGTGGCCAGTCTGTCCAGGTCCCGCACTCGGCTTCAGTGCCACCCATAGCCACGGTTCCGATAGTAGAACCTGGTCGATCCAAGCCCAAAGTGCCGATGCCAATGGCGACGCCACCAACCACCAGTCCCAGTCCCAGCTCACAGATTATTCGCACGGCTGCCGCCTGCCCACCAGCAGCACCAGTCGGCATCGCACCAACCTCTAAAAAGTGGGCGCCCATGATGACGCTGATCAATCAACCCAATCCGGAGGCCGTGCTAAAGCTGCCAGCCAGCACCTACCTGCGGCCAGTGGTCAGCACGACGATGACCGCCTCGGTTTCGGCCTCTCCGCCTGCTAACAACAACAGCAACAGCATGAATGTGATGATGACTCCCTCTCCTTCGCCAGGAAACCACATGGCGAGTCTCATGCCCGCCCAGCGGACCCCGCCCAACTTCCACCCCAATCCCGCCAATCAAAACATGCCCGTGCAGCGGTTTAATATTCCTGTAAGTAAATTGTAGTTAAGAAATGGCTGCATTTTTTTTTAACCTGTTCTTCATGATCTTCAGTTGCCCATCACTGTGAATGCGAACGCGCCCTTTCTGATCGCAGAGCCACATCACAAGCAGGCGCCAAAGGCGAGTGGCCGCAGCACCGGAAAAAACAACAGCCGAATGCGCCAAATGTACAGCAGCAATACCAGTCCGCAGGGTATGCGACAGAATCAAATAAATCAAGTGTTCCAGCCATAAGTAATGGACGACTACCGCATGATAGTTTTCCACCTGGAAAGACTGCCTGCAAATCAGGAAAATTTTCTTTGATATTCCGGAGAAACTCAGCAACAGCAACAGATCCATAGAAATGCACGATCACGGAATCGGAAATCTGAACTTTATATATTCAATTTAATTCCCCTGCACGCAGCTTTTGACGATAAATTGTTTTTAGAGTAAGAGACTCCAGGTTGATGCCGCTGAAAGACGATGCTGTATGTAAATTAATATTACCATATAAATATTAGATTTATGTTACGATATATGCTATTGTAGTTCGCTGGTGTTACTGTAACTCTGCCGGCTAGAATGTAAGAAGCAATGTAAAGCCATGAGATGGATCTTTGCGAAAATCTAGCTACTAGCAGTCCATAATGTCATCCCACTTTTCATTTAAACCGTTCTGTAAATTGTTCGATCATATATTTTACATACATTTTATGTATATTTAAAGCAAAGCTATAAAGTGAAAAAGAATAATTATTTAAAGTATTTTTGTGGTTAAAGTTGGCCAAAATGAGTTTTACTTTGTGGAATTGGATATGATTGGTAGGAAGACCTAAGATGTTGCATACTTATCGGGATGCTAATAAAACTTTAGCTAACAATCGGGAAAAATACATAAAATACTCAAAGAAGCCCAGTTTTTTTGCAATATCTCAAGAAGTACTCTTCCAAATGTGGAATGGCATACGTCGTTGGATTCGCAATAAAATTTCCTATCCGATGGCATTCACACCTAAAATTATCGAAATTTGGCCATTTTTCGCAAAAAATGACGATGTAACCCCTTAAGAAAAATGCGAAAATTGGCCAAAAATCATTTTTTTGTAATCGTCCAAAAAGTGATTGGGCTCGTTAACTATGGTCATAAGGAGCTCAAAACAGTGTTTGGTTCGGCTGTAAGTCGCTTTTTTTTATTACAACCGAAAGACAACTAAAAATGTGGTCTTTTTTTATGAACTAATGTTTTCCAAATCAATTTTCAGAAACTAACTAAGGGATAAGTTAAAATGACAATTGAATTGAATAGTAGAGCTTCTCTAGTTTCCAAAACTATATTTTGTTTGGCCCTGAGTTGTTTCTTGCGCAAATAACAGACAAATTACCATTAAAAAATGTTTTTTTTTCGCTGAAAACTACGTAAAATTACGCAAATAAGCCCAGTTTTTTTGAAATATCTCAAGAAGTACTCTTCCAAATGTGGAATGGCATACGTCGTTGAATTCGCAATAAAATTTCCTATCCGATGGCATTCACACCTAAAATTATTGAAATTTGGCCATTTTTCGCAAAAAATGACGATGTAACCCCCTTAAGAAAAATGCGAAAATTGGCCAAAAATCATTTTTTTGTAATCGTCCAAAAAGTGATTGGGCTCGTTAACTATGGTCATAAGGAGCTCAAAACAGTGTTTGGTTCGGCTGTAAGTCGCTTTTTTTATTACAACCGAAAGACAACTAAAAATAAAGTGTTTCTTACCAAAATTTTCAACTAGTCTTTTCCAAATCAGTTTTTAGAAACTAACTAAGGGATAAGTTAAAATGGCAATTTAATTGCATTCGGTGACACAGATAGTAGGGCTTCTGTAGTTTCCAAAACTATACTTTGTTTGGCTCTAAGTTGTTTCTTGCCCAAATAACAGACAAATTACCATTTCTGTTGCTTCCTCTTCTGGTAAAGTCTCGTCACCTCCTGGGCGGTGCTTTGCAGGTCCGCCAGCTGTTTTTTCTGGAACTGGGGCTGTTTTACCTGCCGGACCAGCTTGTTGTTTTGGTAGATTCGCTCAGCCAGCTGGCTTTGCTTGGTTCTCACGTTTTTATTAATCCTGGGTAGTGGACTGCCTGTACGGCTTCACTCGGCCATCTTGGAGCAATGCAGACGAGTCCAGGAGGGGATCAATATTGATATCCGAAAACTCGGACCAATTCACTTAATAAGCAAAAGAGAGATCTTAAACAATATGCCTTGTTTTTTCAGCGACCGATCCCCAAACATTAGCGATGCTACAGCTTTGATCAACCGTCTAGATATCGATATATGTTTTATATTTTGAGGGCTGACATTTGTTTTTGTATTGTATTGTATTTGCAATTGTATTGTATTGCCAAATTGTATATTTTATTATTTCATCTACGGTCACACATTAAAAGCTCTAAATTTCTAGCGTCGTATTATTTTGGCGGCTGTTAATAATATATTGTTTGTTTTTGATGTCTGAATTAAAGGCCAAGAGCCCACTCAGCGAGCGGTCGCTCAACAATTCGGCGTCCAGAGATCAAATTTATCCTGTGACCTTTAAGATATTTAAAAGGCTAATAGCTAACCTGCCGCAAATTACAACCGCCCTACGATCCTCCGATGAAAACCACAAGACGGACGACGAGTGGGCGCGGTGGTACTATGAAGCCTTTTACAGAGATCCTAGTATTCGAGAAAAGTATCAGTTCGAAGTGGCTCCTTGTCCTGGTGGCGTTCGAGAAAAGTTGCTCAAGGTTCCTGACCTTGAACTCATCCGTGATCTGCAAGAGCCAATATCAGAGCAAATGGTTGTGGCCGACGCAGCCAAGACAGATTCGGTCAATGCCAAAAGCGAGTCGGATAATTTACAGGGAAACCAGAACCTAAGATCTGGAGATGAGATAGTTGAAGTCGACAAGTAAGTGGCTTTCAATTCAAACTGATGGCATTTAAAACATTTCTCTCTTGGCAGGTATGGCACTTTCATATTTCCAGTATCTTTCCAAACTTTTGAAAGGAGCCTCAACCAAATAGAGGTGTTCCGCCAGGTCATGAAGAGCCAAGACGATTGTCTGAAGCTGTTGGTCGATGATGGGCTTCGTAATATAACCTTAAAAAAGTTTTATAACAGCTATTACATGCGCCCACAACATCGTGGCAAGGAAAACATTTTCCAAGAATTTCCACCAACTCCGTTAGCCAAGTTGCTAGAAATTGGCAGGCCTTATGATGATACAGCAGTCAAAACTGCTTTAAAGTTTGCCGCCGAGAATTCCGATAACAACAAGTGAGCAACAAAAGCGTTTCACACATATGTATGATTTCCTGTAATCTTTCATTTCATTATTTCATAGTTCTATCGTTAGTTTTGAGCAGTTTAAGAGGAGCTTGCGGAATTTAAGAGATATTGTGGAAGACCTGAAGCAGATGGACAAAAATTATGACGGCAAAGACTTTGAAGAGTGTGCCTATGACTACTACAAGGCATTTTACCTCACACCAGAGATTCGCCACAAGGTCCAATTCCAGTTGCGACCATGTGCGGCTGAATTTCAGGACCGCCTACTGGCTTTTCCGAGCAAGGAAACCGCCAACGCCCAGTTAACCAGCCACTCACCAAAAAATAATCAAACTTTGATTTCACGCGAACGTGAATCTTTACAAAGGAAAGAGGAGCCGTTAAACTCAGTCTCTAAAAAGTTTGAAGTCTTGAGCGTAGACTCTTTTGAGCGAGTTTCCATATTTATAGTAATCTCATATCACAAATAAATCTTTTCCTCCTTTAAAGCAAAGCTATACAATGAAAAATAATAAATATCTTCTTAAGAGTATCAACGAGCTTTTGCATTCTGATCGCCTGGTACTTCAAGGGGGGATTTGGTTAAATATGTTGGGCCTGGCCGAACGATTTCAACGAGAAAACTTGTGGCAGTTAGATTCCCATACAAATTTGTAAAATACTTTTAGGGGCGAGTAAGAAATCTGAATCTGAAAAGTGCCCACCAACTCTTGCATTCTGTTCGCCTGGTACTTCAAAGTGAATTTTTACTGAATATGTTTGGCTTATTTATTTATTTCATTTATTTATATATTTGTAACTATAATACGTAAGCTACGTTTACAATATAATACCTAGGGAATATAGCGATATATATGTATGTATGTGTTATTTATTTTATATGTATTATATGTACAATAAACTAGAACTACCGAAATTGTATTACACACAAAAACTGTAGGCTCGACTGACCGATTTTGATGAGCCAACGAATTCCATAAGAAGGTGTCCGCGTTGAAATCTTGATCCTTATCACTGTTTTCCCGATCCCGACAAAAAACATTTGAAATCAACTTTTTTGAAGAATTGGCTGATATTTTAAGCAGTTCCTTTTAAGACATTATGATATTCTGGCTTAAAGCCCATTCGAAGTCGTATTCGTAAAATTTTTCCATTATACCTGTGAAACAAAACATTTGTTTAAGCCAATGAAGAAGATCCTTTGGCTCAGTCAATATCCAACTTCTTAAAGTTTCCTTCAATGCCAAAAAGATCGGATGCATTTTTCGATTTTCCGGGCCGCAGTTTTTCGTTGACCTGATGCCGCTTCTCGAACTCAAGCATTTCCTTTCGACTGTTTAGCAATTTATTGTAGAAAATCTCTGCGAAAAGGTAAAAATTATTTTTGACTGACAACTTTAATAATAAATAAATCAAGATCCTTTACACACCTTTGGCCAAGCTGGATTCCTCTTCTCGACCTCCGTATTCCTTGGGAAGCATTTCTTTGGGGACGAACTTATAGAAATCATTCAAGTCGCTGTGCATGTGCAGCACAGTGGAGAGCTCCTTTTTCATAAACGGTGTCATCAGTGCCAGAATCTTGTCCATGAAGGGCACAATGTTGATGAAGTGAAAGCCTATCAGCCTGATGGCAGCCGCTTCCTGAAGAGTAAAGAATTTAGTCATCGGTCTTCAACGGCACATTGGCTCAAATACCTGTAGGTAGAATAGAAACTTCTTCATTTGCAGCAGTCCAATGCGGGCCACATGCCCCAAGGAGGTGCCTTGCAGGTCGATGACGATCACATGCCCTGGCTGAATGCCGTCCTCATACATCCAGAAGTCAAATACCATGCAATATCTGCAAGCAGAGAAAAGGAACCCTTTAAATATCGTTGTTTTCAAAGGAAAACATCGACTTGTTCAAGACAGACGTCCCCTGAATTAATCCCTCGCGGTTAAGCTCGCCTAATTATTCTCTCTTAATTGACTGACATTATACAGCAGATTATAATGATCTGTGAGTGCCTGACGATTAAGTCGATCTGTGTACATCTGTCTCCGGAACGCCGAATTGTTTCGTGTGTGTTTTTGACTGCAGTGAGTTTCGGATCGAGCCAGCGCAGTTTTCACCTTAGGCGTTTCGGACCTTTAATCTGTTCATGCGCTGAATGCCTTGTCATAATCACGCCACACATGACGTGGAAATTGTGTTGAACTGGCAGTAATTGTCGGTCATTAATATTGAAGCTAAATAAAACAAGTGTGTGCAAATTGTAGATAATTTAACCTTGGTGAATGTCTAAAGAACGACGTCCACAGCAACCCTAAATCAAATATAGCGCCATGAAAGCCCATACAATTTAGTCGAACAAATGTATTTGAACAGGTTCAGTCCCAACTCTGCCACATACTCACAGTTTCATAGCATCTGCAAAATTGTAGTTGGCGGTATTCAAATCATCCAGCTTAGCGAGGATCACCCGATATCCTTCGTGAGTGGCTCCTGGCAGAGGAACAATGGACCTGAAAGGAAATAAAGACGGGCTGTTGCATTAGATGTTTGGATCAACGCCAAAGAAGGTTGTCACCAACACAGTTCGCATGGCGCGCCTGATCTCGGGTCGCTCGCAGTCGAGGCTCACGAAGAACTCATCCAGGTGGGTGCGGGCCGTGAGATTGGTGTCCAGGACCTGCTTGGCCACCTCCATGCTGCAGCGGCAGGCGTGGAAGAAGTGCAGAGCCTCGCCCTCCGAAAACCTCTCCGAGATGTGCGGCTGGGCGTGGATCCAGTCCAGAAACTTGCGCACCTCCGACCGCTTGATCTCCGGAAAACTGGCGTACTGATCCTCCAGACTGGCCGCCTTCATCTTGGTGAACTCCTCCGGGATTTACTTTTGGTTGTTGCGCTACTTGGCCCGAAACGCGTTTCAGCGCGATCCACTCTCGAATGAAATGAAAATGAAAATGGAAGCTGTTGCTTTCGCAAGTGAAACTGGTTGGCCGGCTGACTTGGCGGATTCGGCATGCAATTCGGAGTGCTCGGGATGAAGTCGAGAATGGAGACTTTTCGGCGGGAGCCGAGGAGCATGGACTGGCATTTTAGCTGTCCGAAACGCAAACATTTTCCCCCATTCCTCCCCATAATTTTAATCGTCACGCGAAAAGAAATAAAAAATTTTCGGATTTGAACAGTGAACTATTTAAGACAAATTAATTTTTTCTACTAAAATTAAAATCTCTGCTTGCCAACCCCAAGTTAATATTAATTTTTTTCTGTGCATTTGTTGTCGGTTCATTTCACTTCAGTTCACTTCCATCAGGCTACGTGAAAATGCAATTTTTACCAGCTCGAAGCTGCCGCTCGGTTATTATTTTTCTCTCTTCGGGATTGCGTAACATGTGATCAAGTGATTGGGGTCCGATCCATGACGAGGGGCCTGTGCTATTATTATTTCGCATGGCGTGTGCTTGGGAGATCGGGAGATTTCAGCTCCTTCATCAAATCAAAAATGCGACGCTTGACTGGCGAAAGGAAATTATGTGTGTCCATACACAGCTAAATTTGTATTAGAGATTGAGACAAGATGTGATAAATGCCCTGGCATATGGGTGCATTTTAATAAAACCCTTCAAGCTTCGCTGTCTTCCTAAGATATTAGTGAATAGAACATAGTCAAAATGATAAATGAGTTGCGCAACTAAGATGAGAAATATTTGAAGAATCCTTCTGCTTCTGCCGAATAAGATGTCACAACGCATTCAAGTTCCCAAGTTGCACGTACGTGTGGCAACTTCGGCTGGCCGACACAACGGCCTCATTTCCGCGGCAGACACTTGACATTTTGCCAACAGCAGACACCAACCAGCCAGCCACTCAGCAGGCCAGTGGACAAGCTGGCTAGGCAGCCTGCGGCTGGAGCTCGGAACAAGCACTGCAAACGTTTTACATAGGTTGCATATTGTTTTGGCATCTGAAAGTTAAGATAAAGTAAGCTTACACTGGCCACAGGGAGTTGGGGAGCGTACTTTTCTGCCAGTGCAGCTGTGGCACGCCACGCTCAGTTAAAACAGCCGGTGCGCCACTTGGCGTGTCTGAAATTCCAAACGGATTAGAAGCCGCGCGCAAAGAGCAAACGGCGAGCTGCAAGTGCTGGCTGCCAATGGCAACCAGTTTGCGACGCCGAGAAGAGGATCGGGGACCCCGAGGGGGATCCCCGAAAGGAGGTGCGCACTTCTGTTTTATTTGGCCCGCTGGGGGCAGGTGTCGTGGTGTCTGCCTCGAGTGTCAAACTGTGTTCCAATCCGAAATTAATTACACATCCCAAAGTCCGAGCTAGAATCGAGTTCGACTTGCTCGTGGGTCGGCTGCACTCAAAGATCTGGGCCAAGGGTGGAGTCATTAATATTATACCTATAATAATCACTAATAACATCAAACTAATATTTTGGCTTCTCTAAGTTTAGGTGTTCTCCTATTTCCTAAACTGACCTTACAAAGTCAATCTTAAGACCAGAAAAAAATTAGGTGCAATCCCATCAAGTAAGGAAATGCCCCACATGCTTGTTAACTATGGTCATAAGCTGCTCAAAACAGTGTTTGGTTCGGCTGTAAGTCGCTTTTTTTTATTACAACCGAAAGACAACTAAAAATGTGGTCTTTTTTTTATGAACTAATGTTTTGCAAATCAATTTTCAGAAACTAACTAAGGGATAAGTTAAAATGACAATTGAATTGAATAGTAGAGCTTCTCTAGTTTCCAAAACTATATTTTGTTTGGCCCTGAGTTGTTTCTTGCGCAAATAACAGACAAATTACCATTAAAAAATGTTTTTTTTCGCTGAAAACTACGTAAAATTACGCAAATAAGCCCAGTTTTTTTGAAATATCTCAAGAAGTACTCTTCCAAATGTGGAATGGCATACGTCGCTGAATTCGCAATAAAATTTCCTATCCGATGGCATTCACACCTAAAATTATTGAAATTTGGCAATTTTTCGCAAAAAATGACGATGTAACCCCTTAAGAAAAATGCGAAAATTGGCCAAAAATCATTTTTTTGTAATCGTCCAAAAAGTGATTGGGCTCGTTAACTATGGTCATAAGAAGCTCAAAACAGTGTTTGGTTCCGCTGTAAGTCGCTTTTTGTTTGTATTACAACCGAAAACCCACTAAAAATATAGTGTTTCTTACCAAAATTTTCAACAAATCTTTTCCAAATCAGTTTTTAGAAACTAACTAAGGGATAAGTTAAAATGACAATTAAATTGCATTCGGTGACACAGATAGTAGGGCTTCTCTAGTTTCCAAAACTATATTTTGTTTGGCCCTGAGTTGTTTCTTGCGCAAATAACAGACAAATTACCATTAAAAAATGTTTTTTTTTTTTCGCTGAAAACTACGTAAAACTACGCAAAAAAGCCCAGTTTTTTTTGGAATATCTCAAGAAGTACTCTTCCAAATGTGGAATGGCATACGTCGTTGAATTCGCAATAAAATTTCCTATCCGATGGCATTCACACCTAAAATTATTGAAATTTGGCCATTTTTCGCAAAAAATGACGATGTAACCCCTTAAGAAAAATGCGAAAATTGGCCAAAAATCATTTTTTTGTAATCGTCCAAAAAGTGATTGGGCTTGTTAACTATGGTCATAAGGTGGTCAAAACCTTATTTGTTTCCGCGGTAAGTCACTATTCGTCATTATTTTAACCGAAAACCCTCTTTAAGTGTACTGTTTTTAACAAAATTGTCAACAAATCTTTTCCGAATCAGTTTTAATCAACTAACTAAAGGATACTTGGGCTTCTCTGGTTTCCAAAACTAAATTTTTCTTCAGACTTAAATTATAATGCTATCTGCATAGCTTCTATGTTGTTCAGCCATTATGAATTTTGTCCGACATATTTGAGGACTGCAAGGGTATATAGGCTTCGGCTCGCCGAAGCTAGCTTCCTTTCTTGTTTTTCTCTGTGGAGTGGATATTTGCAGTGAGCTCAACCACGCACCACGCACCACCGACTGAAAGACAGGCAGACATCAATTTTCGCAATGGTGACCCAAAAAAATCAATCGCAGGAATGCCGCATGCTAATCGCGGATCAGGTTTCTGGCCACGACGAAGGTGATGATGATGATCACATGGTGGTGACAACATCGTTTGGCGACGTGCCCCCTTTAATGTTGCCGTCATGCACCGAGTCCTACGAGTCAGTCGCCTTTTCGGGGTCCGATTCTCGCTCCTCCCTGGCTCCTGGCCCGCCCAGTTTCTCCACCGCTGCTCGTGCTCTTTCTCCGGCTCCGGTGACTGCTGTTCCCTGGCCATTTTTCACGCATTTGACTGCATTACTTAACCTCGATTTGGCCGTCGACGTGCACCAACCACTCCCCATTCCCCACTCCCCATTCCCCACTCCCCATTACCCACTGGAGGCCTCTTTCAGAGCAACGGTTGCGTTTCCGTTGGCCACCAGCACTCCGCTGAGCAAATGAAGTTGTCGCGTCGGCCTGCAGCAATTTGCATACAGGGTTCCCCTGCCTCCGGATCCCCTTTTCGGGGCGAGCGGATCCTGTCCGGCTCCGGTTGTCCATTTCAATTGTCGATCGCTCGCTCCACTCGTTGCTACACTGAGAAAAACTTGTTTTTCACATTTAATATTTTAAAGGTCAGGGCATAACATCCACTAATTTCTCTGTCTACTTATAGAAGCTCGACTGCGGATAAAACTTAATCGGAACAGTTTCTTAGATCGCTTATTTTTCCTGTGTATTGGCTGCCTCGACACCTTGTGGTCCTCCACTTCTCTAACAATTAACGAGGGGATGGGGGTGGGGATGGGGATGGGGCTGCGGGAGTTCCTATACAACCACGCGACCATCGCTCGCCGGCTGAAAAAGCTTCGATTGTTCTCCCAGCCCAAAACTCGTTTGCGCATGCGCGCCTTTTTTTGTTTTTCACTTGTTTCGCTGCTGCTCTTTTTTGTGTTATTTTAGCGGTTTTTGTTTTGATTTCTGATTGCCGTTCGAATGTCTTTTTCAGCCCGCAGTTGCTGTTGCTGTTGCGGTTGCTGCTGTTGCTGCTGCTGCTGCTGCTGCTGCTGCTTTTTGTGTTGCTGTTGCTGTTGGCCACTTTTATTTACGGTGGCAAGTGTCGCTTGACAAATTGATTTTGATTTGTTCGCTCTTTTTTCGAGTTTTGCTTTTGTCTTATTTTGTGAGCCGGCAATGGGAAGTTTTTGTTAGGGGCTTGGCAGCCTTGAACGCGACTTTCTGCCCGGGGAAATGACAGTTAGGAAGCGCATTAAATTGCTTCGGTTCCCAGCCGAACGAGCGAACAGGAAAAGGAATCAACAGCAATATCCATCCAATTATCGCTTCCTTCGCAGCAGTCGAATTGGAAATCAAACAGCAACAGTTGAGTGCACTCTTCAGCGGAGGCGACTCGCGGGGGTGAAGGGTGGAGGGAGTAGGGTGCGGCCTTGGGGTGGGGGATCGGGGTAACTGTGCATTACACGCTCGTTGGCATCCTGTTTCATGCAACAGCAAGCAACAGGATGCCGCACAAAACCCTCAGCAGTTCGAGGGTTGCTCTGCGCGGCACTCAAAAAAATATATACTGCCACCTGTATATTGTTTTTTAATTACCTATGTATGCATTTTTGTTTGCTCCTTATAATAGCTATAGCTATAAAACTCTACAACTAGTGTTGACAAAGAATTTAAACTATCAACAAAATGTCTTCTCCATTTGAATGCCAAGTTCTGATTCCAACAACCCCCGTTTCTTTCAGTGCACCCTGCCCTAAATGGCCCTCGAAAAGCCAACCAAAGTCAGTTACAAGTGAATGCCAAACAAAGCCCGTCCGTCCAACGCCAGCGATCCATTCCATCCATCCATCCATCCATCCATCCCTCCATCCATCCGTCCACTCAGCGATCGCACAAAGGAACGGGCAGCACAATGCATTAGGGCCCGCTGGAAACAAAGTGTAAGGAGCAGGGACGCCGAGGCAAGGAGCCTCGAACAAAGAAGATCAGTCGTGCGTTGGAAAAATCCTTAAGCCGCAGAGACGAGCAAGGAGCTGGAGTGTTCATCAACGGCCGAACACCTGATGATGACTCTGACTTCAACTGCCACTCTGACTGCGACACCTGAACGTTGAAGAATGATAATTAGATGGCAGAGCAACCCTCCGCCAGAGAGACGTTACGATCGCCCAGGTAAACGAGCAATGGTGGTGGAATCTCAGTGTGAAGTGATCGTTTGACTACGTAAATGCTGTCATCCAGGGGTGGTTGAACAGCCCTCTAGGAAGCCAGGGAATCTTGAAGACATTCCACCCCTGGCGGACTCGCTTGAGAAGATGTGCTGCGCCCTAATTAGTGGCAGCCAAGGGGCAACAGGGCCTCGTAAAAGTATGCGCATATCAGCAACTCCTATCTACATAATTATTAATTCAATATTTCCTGCCCGTTCTTGCGTCTCCCCAGTCTCGCCTCCTCTTAAAGACTTTCTGCAGAAGAAGAAAGAACTCTGCGAAGGGAAAGGAAACGAGCACTTGACTTCAAGGACCACATCCAACATGGAATGAATGAGCGGTGGGCCCAACTGCCGGATGGCGACCGAATAAGATCAGAAGAGAAAGCACGCGAAGGAAGTTCTGGGGGGGACTTGGCCCAAAAGAAAGTCGATTGGAAAGGAGTTGAGTGAGCGAGGGAAAGAACTTCGTTCTCAACAGGATTAAAGAGGTTTTCTGTATTGACGAGAACTGAAATGCGCATTAATGGACCTTGTTTACCAATCAGAAGGGAGGGGAACGAGCAGCCCGCTCGCGAAAGTGGCCCCTTTGATCTTTTCCGGAGACACACGCGTCGCAAACTCATCTCGTTGTATCTCCTCGGGAGCTCTTCCCCCCAGCGATCATTAACATTGTGGCGTTCTATGCTTTCCTCCGTCTCCTCCTCCTCCTCCTCCTTCTCCTCTTCGTCTTCGTCTTCGTCCAGCCATAAACGAGATAGAGCGGCGCAGATAGAGACAGATGGGCAATTGAATCTGTTCCCCGATGGTTCACTGAACCCGGCCTCTGGTGATTTGCGCCTAGCTGGCGGACGCTTTCCCGGATCAGGGGTTACATCCAGTCTCCGCCTGCAGCGAGGATGATAGATTGTGGGGCCCACACTCCGCTTCGTTTCGAAGTCCCTTCATCCCACGATTCCCACAAAGGCGTCCAGCCAGACAGTAAATTGAATCGAGAGCTGCGAGCTTAGATGACATGTGCTTGCAATTACGACTCAGTTGACCTACATCCGTCCGAGCTTCCTAGGAAATTGAAAAGCACTCTCTGCGTCTGGAAATGTTCTATGGTGATTGGCTCAACGAAATATTCATTTCTTGTTACTTGGGAAACCTATAAATGCAATTTTTGAGTTATGCATCCACGAGGGTGTCGTTCCCAGGAAGAAGGAAGACCAAGCACCTGTGGATAAGAAGACCCATTTGCCTGCTACAGACTGCGCCTAGACCTTCCCAACTTTGCATAATTTCCACTAAATGGCCGCCCAGATACTTGAGACGCGATAAGCATGATCTAGGGTTCCAAATTACGCGCTGCAAGCGCACTCAAGCAATGCGATTTTCATTGTTTTCCCCGCTTTCCCTCTCCGCCGCCGTGGAAAACGCACGTGCAGAAGGCCAAGACGGTTTTCTTACCCTCCTGCTGGGGACCTTCGTGCCTGCGATGCACTTCTGCAAGTAAGTCGGACCTGGCGGATGAGCAACCCTCGTGGGCGCGCCTTCTTGAGCGTGCCCACTCAACTGAGAGGGGGTGGCCTCCGAAGGATCCGCTCTGCTCCGAACCTATCCGATCCGCCCGAGTCCCACATAACATTTGCATCTCATTTCCGGACACTTGGGCGCGAGGGTCAGCGGTCCGATCCTCGCCGGCGAGGGTGAGCGTTTGACGATGGCCGTTGGGTGCGGGACACGGAACACGGAAATGCGAACGGGACAAAGGCGAGCGGAAATGCCTTCACACGACTGCGACTTTGCGACTGAGAGGGGTGAATAATTACAATTAAGCTGCGAGTTGGGGGAGGCCTCAGCATTCGCAGCCTGGAGATCCCTTGGCGTTTCCATTGACCCGTGGAAAATCTCGCAGCGGAAGCTTTCCGCACCCCTTTGTGGAGGAAAACTAACGGATGCACAGGAAAACTGAACAGTGAAACTAGTAACGCGAATAACATATTTATAACAGAAAAGTTGTTGCTCTGGCTGCCCTAACATCTCATATTCAAATATTTATTTGCCACTCCATTGAGAAATGTAGGTTATATTTTCCCCCGGTGTAGCCCAGGTGAAGTGAAAATCAAAATAGATTTTATGGCAATTTTCACATGGAATTTTAATGAGCTCTCCTAGGCAAGGGCGTTACGGTGGCTTATTTACGATCCCCGACTGGATTTGTGCGGTGCACCGTGCGTGAACCTGCTACAGTGGAACCCAAAACTCAACCCCCTGGGATTTCTCTCGAGCCGTTGACATTTTCCCATGATTCGTCACTCGGGTGGTGGGCTTTTCGAGCCCGTTGCATAATTTGTCAAGTGATTTTATTGGCGGGTCAGATGGTTTTAATAGCAGGCTCCACTGCAGGAATGCCAATGAGCTGCTTGAAAGCCAAGTGTGATTTTCGGAGATTTACCTTCGAATCAGTAAATGTTTCGAGAGACTTTTAATATAGTTTTTGGGTAACTACATCCAATCATTAAAATAGTATCACCTTTCAGCATTTGTGTCATTTAAATATAAAGTTTCCTGCAGACCCAAAAGACTATGGAATTGGGTAAAAATATGCTATCACATCGATATGATTTTTGAGTGATCTTTCTGATCACCTTATAATCGATCTCCTGATCGTGGAGGACACTTAATGGGAATCCAACGGCCGAAGCTTGGAGCGAGGAGGCCATTAATCATTCCGTAGGAACCCCACACAGTGCGTCTATCCCTTGGCCGCAATTAGAAAGTCAATGACCGGCGAACCCTCGCTACAAGAACCTCCGGCGCAACGCTCTCTGGACATTTTCGGCAAGAGATCGGCTCATTATTAATCCTCAGCAGCAGAAGAGGCCGTCGTAGATGCGGTGGAACCTCCGGAATGCGAGAGCGTGAGTGCGAGAGAGACGGCCAGCCATTCCCATTCCCATTCCCGTTTCCATTCCCATTTCCATTCCCATTCCCAGCGCTTCGTAGGGTTAAAACCCACGAGCAGTTTTGTCTTCTTTCTTTTTGGGCAATCATCAGACAATAGAAAGCTAGACGAACCAGCAGGCGAGCCAGAAGAAAAGGCAAGCCAGTCAGGAAGAACCGCGCCGAAGAAGGGGCCTCCGAAATGGCTGAGCGGTGTTCGGGGGACTCGAGGGGTTCGTGAGGGGGTGGGGGTCTGTCCGTTTTTCGGTCGTTGAACCGGGAGCGGAGAAGGGGAGCGGGGGGCCGGGGCTGAGTGCTGAGTGCTGGGAAGTGAGGAGCGGCGATCTTCGCTTTCGAGAGTCGTAACAGTAAACAGTAAAACGCTTCAAATGCGTACGACTGGCGGCGGAGCGCGAGTCTGGATTTTCGAGCCCGACTTGGACCATGGGCTTTCTTCTTGGTTATTGTGGCGGCGGCCGTTGTTGCTTTTAAGGCCGTAACCTGTAAAAACACTGACCGAAATACTGCAGGCCCCAGAACTAGAAATAAGATGGGACTAAAGGAGGCGGAACTGACTTGCAAGTCGAGATAAATTGGTAAAATTAGTATGAAAACCGTCATGCCCCTATTATTCGATTATGTTTTGAGTTATGATTCTTGACCAAAGTTAATAGCAATTTCTGTCAGTGTGGGCCTGCGGATCGGTGCCCTGAAACCTGAGACGCGCTTAGGACTTTGGCCCAGAGCTACGCCCGCAACTTGATGGTTATTTACGAACCTGTTGCAGTTGCTGCAGGCACTGGGCATATGTGGCTTGGGCATATATGGCCGCATGGTGGGGGAAGGGGCCTTTGGGTGGCTCGGGTGTTCGGGGGTTCGGACAAATGGGCACACGCCCAAAGCCCCGAAAGCGTCGTCCGTTTGGCAGGCGGCGCACCTGACGCTCCGTCCGAAAGTGGAAAGTAAACTTTACATGGCCGGCAATTTACATGCGTCGCCTGGTCCCGCTCCTCCCCCAACCCCTCCCCCTCCACCTCCCGTGAAGCCCCCTTCGCACTCCCCATCCCCTACCCCCTCCCTCACTCCGCCTCTCTCTCTCTCTCTTTATGTTGAAAGCGTCGCGCATTTTTATTTTTATGATACCCGTCGATTTGAAAGAAAACCCTTTCTCCGCCGCCCTTTCTTCGCGTCTCTCAGATTTCTCTCCTTTCCGCCGCATTCTTGCCTTGGGATTGCGTAAAGATACCGTTAGCCGCTTGGATTTTAATACGTGCGCCTGTGTGAGTATGTAAATGGAAGCGTGGGACATGTGGGCCAAAACAACTGACAACCCAATGCGGTTGGCCCACGGCTGTTGCACTGCGATACTATCTTCCACAGTTCCCTCTTAAGAAGATTTTTATATTTCAGAAGACTCTTAATTGTATATAAGTCCCAGCAATTTCAAAATAATCAGAAAAGTATTTTGGTTTGGATTTAGACCTACCTTTTCATGACACTGGAAAGTTTTTGTTTTGAGTGTGGCTCTAATTTTGGCCCAGTTGAAGAGGCACAGCATCCGCTAGAGCTCCTCATTTGGCTTCTAGGTGCGCATCCGCCTTCGTCTAGTGGATTCGGATTTTGATTCGGCTTTGGGCCCGACTCACCAACTTGTTTTCCGCAGCAGCTAAGCTGTTGCTTCTGCTGCTGTTGCTATTGCTGCTGTGGCTGATGTTGCTGCTGCTGCTGTTGTTGCTGCTGTTGTTGTTGCTGATGTTGCGGTGTTCTTCTCCTTGGCTGCTTCAGCGTCTGGTTTCCCACTCATTTGCTTAATTTCAATTTCGTTTCGTTTGCCATTTATGGCACAATGACCATGAACGGTTGTTTTAGACAGCTGTTGGCGGTGTTGGTGTCTGGTATCTCTCGGGGTTTGTGCGGAGGATGTAACTGTTCACTCGTAATGGATACAACGACACCGATATCACGGACTGGGTCTGCCGATATCCAGATATCCCCACATATCCCCAATGACATCAGCAGGCGCAGACAACGCCCTTTGCGATCGCTTTCCCCGAAAGCACTTGCCCGAAGAGCTTTTTCTCCTGAGTGACTCACTCCTAACTGCAATACCTGCAAGGCGGGAAGGCAGTAAAACTTCATTAGCGTGAACGCGATATATCTTTAAATATACAATTTTACTGGCACTTTGCAGCAATAATAATAATAATAATTGTATCGTTTATATTATTCATTTGTGAATCCATAAATGCCTGCTTCTATGAATTGTTCAAATTTCTTACCCTCAATTATACTTAACATCTTATTTTATAGTAAAACCGCTCCCATGACGGCGGAAAAGTAATTATTTGAAGATTATTTGCATTATTTAAAACCTATTGATATAAATGAAAAATATTTCAACCTGTTAATGAAATCGTTTTAGCGGATTGCAACTGTGCTAAAAAGCTCTCTTCGGCGAGGAAAGGACGGAAGAGCTCCGCTTCGATCGTCGTAATTGAGCCACGAGCTGAGCGCTTGACACATTGCATTTCATTAACCAATTAACATAATTAGTGTTCATCAATCAATTAATAATTCCGCTCAGTGCAGAGCGGACCGCTTGATTTCGAGAGCGGAACTCGCAGACATAAATCAAAAGTCGAAATACACTTGTTGCGCCCAAGAAAAAAACAACACACAAATCCCACCTCAAAACAATAACAATCCCTGCTCTCCAACTCTCCACTGAGCTGAGCTTTCCGTTTGGAGAGTTGCTCTCTTGCTCTCTGATGGGTTTTTCCTGGTATTGGTGAGACTGGAGGCGAGCCCCAACTCTCCAACGATCTCTCGCTGTACATTGCGAGTGGGAGAGAGCGGCGAGGGCACTGCGCATGTGTGTTTGTGATGTTGTGAGAAAAAGGGTTCTTGAACTTAAAAGGGGTCAAAACATAAAATGAAACTCGAAATGCCTTGGCACATAGACAAACCGAGCTCTCCGCTCGTGAGTGTCCATGTGCTTGTGCATCCGTATCTGTGTGCGCCTGTCTAGGCTCGTATCTGTGAGAGTGCCTGCTGGTCGTTATGCTGCCGCTGCTCTGCCGCTGCGCTGCCCTCGCTATTTCCTCCGTTCGCCTTTTCTCTTCGTCTATTCCGTTTTCTATTTGATTTCTACCTGTTGTTGTTTTGGCTTAAAGCCTGCTCCCCTTTTACAGCGCCTGCCTTCCTCTCTGTCCCTCTCAGCACGCACTCGTCTCATGGATACACTCGGGAAAAAGTGTACAAAAAGCAAAACACATAGGAGCTTTCCACTTGGAATTAAAAAGGATTTAAGCCCGAGTAAGATTTTAGAATGGGGTGCTACAGGAGTACCTTCCAACAAAGAGTCTTCCCAAATGCTGTAAAAAAAATGGAGCTTAGGTACTTAAATATTTTTTCTGTCTCTACTGTTTTTATATAAATTGAACTCCAAAATATATTGTTTCCAATCCACAAAAAAATGTATTCGAATTCAAAGTAAAAGATAGTTTCTCTCAGTTCATTGCGTTAGGCTTAGCTGGAATTTAGGTTCCTCCTCCTTGGCGAGCATGGAACTTTTTGTGTTTACCACTTTTCTCGTAAACAAGACGACTTGAGCTCATCGCGGCTATTTTTAGCTGGGATGCGTAGGATCGCATCGAAACGGATCCGTTGACCCAAAATAAAGGCCTAAAAGACGTGGCGGAATGGATCTTCGTTTCGGCCATCGAACAGGAGTCGCTGATCGTCGCCGTGAACCATTTGTGTAAACAATATTATTTATGACGCTACCCTCTTCCCGGATCCCAGTCCGAGAACCCCGCGAGCCCCCCACCCTGGGGTTGTCTCTACTCATTGCTGTTTACAATTCCATTCTCTGGGTTCTGGGTTCGTTCTGCTGGGCTTCGTGCTTCTATTTGTCCGTGGGCTCCTTTCTCCCTCCCGTTCGCTCGGCTCTTCGGCAGCGATTCCTTATGTACCTCAGCTCTTCACGCTCCGCTGCTCTGTGCTTCCATACGCTGTAGGTATCTGTATCTGTATTCGAACACGTATCTGTGTGGCGTAGCGCGGCTACATGTGTGTGCGTTCAATCTCGATTGTCAATCTAGGCGGTTAGAAAAGATGTTTGCCTTTGGCCTGGAACAGGAACGAGAACGCTCCGGGAATGGGAACGCGCTCGGTCAGCGACCTCCGGCGATTACACGTGTTGTAAATTAGTTTAGGATTCCCTTGTCCCATTTTGAGGAATATTAATGCTTGTTCTCCAGCCCAAAGTTCGTCTGCTCTTCAGCATGTGGGGTTTGCTGGAGTCGGGAGTGGAGAGTCCCTGGAAATGAGCGATGGATTGTTTGGATTGGGTTCCGTCTTCGGATACAGATAAAGGGCTAAACGGCCCAGGGCTAGAGATTATCCCCTTTTTGTCGATAATCACTCAACATAGCATTCTTTCAGCCTTGGGAGAAAACAATTGCGTATCGAATGACACCTGTTGAACGGGAAAACTATCTCAATCATTTACAAATCCATATTACATTTAGTTTATCAATGCATCCAATGTTTTGTACATAAAGATGCGATTCAAACTTATTCACCTTGTCTCATCTTTGGATGGCAGCACCCCCAGGAATCCTAAAGCAACCTTACAATGTTTCCCCCATTAATTGGTGTACAGGAAAAATGACTTTTCACACACTGAAAAGCAAACACACAAAGGAGTGCATGAAAAATAGAAAAGGCAGCTACCACCTGATGATGACTGGCTGGAAGGGACAGCAGCAAACATCCAGCTTTTCCCCAGGAAAATCCAGTCAATACAGCTGGCGAACAAAAGACTCCTAAATTATCGACTGGCTGGGGATCTTCACCGGGTTCTCCGGGTCTTGGGCCGCTGATTTCTTCCCAGCTGGCTTTGGGAGGATCAATTGTAATCTCACGACGTCAAGCTGCGATCGCGGCAGTGCCACCTGATCCAACAGAGATATCCAATCAAGAGCAACAACGACTTCACACCTCGGCCCCGTTAGCGGGGGGGAAAGGGCGTGGCTGCAGATATAGCAGATATACGATATGCGTACATCCAGGTACAGATATAGATACACGTACATCCCAAGTCGAGCTTATCTCTTCTGAGGACCCCGGGCAACCGGTTCCCGGAGATACTTTCTAGGCTGCCTCCGCCGGCGACTGACTTGTGATTACTAAATTAGCACTCTCCTGGTTGCTGGCCCCCTCCCCCATTTCTAATTGCCGTTGCCGGGCTGCGAGCCACAAAAAGCGAGGCGAGAAGCCAAGAAATTCCTTTTTAATTAGCGTCCCGTGCGAGCGTCATCGCAAGCTCAGCAGCGACAGACCGACCTCCATCCCAATCACCTGCAACTGTCCCAAAATTGTGTTGCGTCATAATCACCGGCTGGTGGCTGCTGACTGCTACTGCTGGCTGGTGGGAACTTCCGCGCACAATCACAATCAGCGGCAATCGCCAACCGTCAGCAGCTTCTAATGCCATTCGCCCACACTCAGAGAAAGAGTTCATAAAATACCACTCTCAAGAATATATCACATTTAGAAATAATACATTAAGGTATATTTCTGCTTATCCATTTTAAATGAATTTTCCCCATTTATTGCTTTAAAAGCGGAAAACTCACTCTACTTTTACCCAAGTGTATCTTGCCTAATGACACTTTGGCCGCTGTGGAGCCGGCCCTTTTTGGGCCCTCGAATCCGGAAGTGTCGCCGTCCCGTTCTCGCCCGGCGTCCCCACCTCCGGGGCCCTGGGATCGGATCAGATCGGATCGGATGTGACGGAGCACTCTGCGCATGCGCATGCGCTGACCCCCGTGTGAACCGAGAGGTTGCGTGTCCGGTAGCCAGGACCATGGGACCCGTGAAATTACCATGAAACGCCGAATCGGTTGCCCTGGTGCGCTGCTTCCCACAGAAAGTTGCATAATTTTCACGCTCCTTGGCCGCAACCCCCACCCCTTGTCGCAGGACCTCGCACCTGTGGCTGTGTGCTGCTCGAGGTCCTGGCCATTATCCCGACCCTAATCGAGGACAACGACAACAAGTTGGCCGGCCAGCGAGCCACTTTCACCCTCCCTCGAAAGGCGGCCTGCAATCACAGGGCTCGTTCAACTGGTTTCATGGCATTCGGGGAACATTCCCATGATCTGTTGCTCCGTTTCTCCCTTTCTCTGTTTCCCAGTTTCTCTGTTTCTCTGTTGCTCAATTGCGGGGGAACGAGGGCAGCGCGGGGAAGCTGGCTCGAAATTAAATTTGTATTTTGATTTCTTCGCAGGGCTCCCGACTTAATGGCCCTTGACTTCGGCTCTCGGTTATCCTGCGGAACGCAACTCTTTCGCACAGCCGGCATTCGAGTGAAATCATTCCCTCGTTAGGGGAAACCACTTTTCGTTGCTCCGTTCTCAGTTCTTCGTTCTTCCCACGTTCCGAATCGATCCTTTGCCCCGCAGCAAGGATCAATCGCAGACGTATTTAGATACAATTTGATGTTTTTCGAGCGAGGGTTGCCTTCAAGGATCCTCCATCGGCGATTGTCGATCCTCTTCAAATAGACGTGGCCGTTGACACAAACACCTGGCCGTTGGACTGGGGATTACAGGCCAGTAACTCAGGACGGAGTGGCGGGGCGGGGCGGGGAGGGGAGATCTTCGAGGAGAGACTGTACTTGGGCAGGACCTGGACTTGGATGTAATTACCGGCAAATGGGAACGAGTGGAGATTGCAGGAAATTACAGCGAGGCACGAAGATGGCGAGCCATCCCCGCTCCGCCTGCCACCCCTCGGGGCACCGAGCGCTGCACAGAGGCAGCCTTTGTCTGGTGCCTCCTCTATCCCTGGTACTTCGGAGTCAACAAGGGAAACACTGGAAACACAGGGAGGGAGAAAGATCAGCCCGAAGACGAGGAGGAGGAGGAGGAGAAGGAGGCGAGGGGAAGTCGAGCAAACAGCGTATCCTGTACCCTTGCGCAGCCGTTGACTTTCATTATCTGTTGCGCCACTTTAAGCCACTCAGTCGGACTCTCGTCGATGGGGGAGCTTCAGGGAGTGGAGTGCACTCAAAAAAATAATACCCTCTGCCAGGGTATAAA